AGTGGTAGGGAAAAGAAATCATGTTTCATTGGAAGTCATTCATATTAGCCAAACTACCTTTTTAAACTCAACCAATTCCTTGTTGGATATTGTCTCATAAAATAAAGAACTCCTCCTTTATATTTCTCCATTTATGATACAAATAAGGATAGCTGGAGCTTTGGAGGAAAGAAGAAAAAAAAAAAAAAAGGAAAATCTTAACCAAAATGTGACCTTAGCAGATGTAATCCAATCTGATTTCCACTACATTAGCCTACGGATGCTTATGCAACTGCATAGCACAGCAACTGAGAGACAAAACAATGGAAGTTTTAAGGCTTTATTTATTGCTCTTTCTCAAAACATTCTATCGCCATCATGCTTCAACTGCCAAATCTAAATTAGAGAGGTTAAAAAAAAAAAAAAAAGTACTCTTCAGGGGAACATTAGAGCTCTATAGAGAGGTGTGAGCTCCAGGAGATGGAGCATCTGGCTAGAGACCAACTTGCCTGTAAGTCCAGACCAAGTGGACCCATATGGATAGCTTTTAGAAAATCATAAGTGGTAACAAGTAGAAAAATTTCCTCCCTTCCATGTTCAGTATGATTTTTTGACATTAGTAATTAAAACATACTTACTGCCATTAGCAGATTACAGAAACTTCCATCAGAATCTAAAATAATTTCATATAACCTAATCAATTCCTTGTTTATTCTTGTTTACCCACAATTTTACTCCTCTTTTGTATAGATTGCTGTGGAATATTACAAAGCATAACAAAACCTATTTTACTACTAATTAAGTGCATCAGAGCAGTATATTCATCTCTTCTTTTGAGAGCACAAGGAATATGCATCAAATCTCAGCCTGCAGGTTTAAAAAGATTACCACTTAAGTTTTCATATGTCCTATGCCTAGAGACTGCTGGAAGCATTTCATCATTACACTTTTGCTAACATACAAATGCTACACAATATTCAGCAGCTGCATTATGAATCTATGCTAGTGATCAATGATACGTTAACCTCATCTCTCACATAAATTTGACACAGGCCACATATTTATAACTTGCACAGCTTTATTTTTTGTATTTTTGTATTCAACCAATATGCTTTCTTCCTTTGGTATTACCCAGCTAGTGAACACATACAGGACATTACTGAACTGTTACTACTAATTTCTCATGTAATACTCTTGAAAAGACAAAAAATAATCAATATTTCTATTATAGGGGAAATCAGTCTTTTACTTTGTAATTTTTCCTCTTTTTTTCATCAAAACATCAGCAGAAAAAACAGGAATCAAAATTCATTACCTGCTCTCTGATCTAACCTTTTACTTAAAATTACTAATTCTCACATTTCTTTAAAATGCACATGCATCACAAAAATGAAAACAAAAGTAATGAGAACAAGATAGACAGCTATTCCCTCAAAGAAAACCAAACAAAAAAACTCTTCTGTGAACTTAAGAGGCCTTCACACCAAGAAATTTGGATCTTTTTTCTTCTCTGCCAGAAATTTTATATTTAAAGTCATAATATGCATTATGCATACATAAGTGAACATGTAAGCATCCATTTTAAAAATAACCGAGTTATGAAGTAATGCCCCTATTTTACAAGGGGAAAACTATATTTTACAGAAGTTGCCCATATCTTCATACAGAATAATATTATGTTCTGGCTGCTCATGAATAGTAGTTAATACATGGAAAAATTAGAGTGAAAACTAAGAAGCTTTTGCCAATGCTACCACTTTACCAATATGAGCTAACTCTAGAATCCTGCCTAGCATTTAACTTAGCTTTCCTCCAACTTCAGTACATAATTATTATCTACCACATCTTCAGTTAACATCTCATCCTAAAATTAACTGTAAGTTCCTATGTTCAGTAAAACTCTTCCCCCTTTGGGGGTACACTATTGAGTGACTTTTCCTAATTCCAGACAGCACATCACCATCAGAACCTGCAATTATTCCCAGACAGATTTATGCTTAATCCATCAGATACTACAGTCCCCTAAATAGCATGGACTAATAATCTGCCCATATTCCTAAACTAGAAAACAAATACAGCAATAAAACCCCTGAAGAAATGCAGGGGTAGGGAAAAAGTTAGTCTAAAGATGAAAAGAGAGTGGGATGAAAACCCAGTGGACAGTAAATTATGATTCAGAATGGGGTACCTTCTCTTCTTGACCCCCTAAAAGAGTGTTATAGGTAAAAACATTGCACAGGCAGACATGTATGTTAGGATAAAGCCCTACCTATCATTTATGCACTTAAAACTATTTAACTGTGAAGGCAAAAGGGAGGAAACAAAAATAAAACAAACAGGCCAACCCCCATGACACATTCTGATCTCGATGGATGAACAACGAACTGAATATTTCCATCTGGACAGAAGCATCATCTCAGCACTATGTGATGTATTAGCCAAAAGCCAAGCACAGGTTTCTAGTTTCAGCCCAGCATTAGACAGTCAGGTCCTCTTAGAGACATTGGATTTCACAGGAAAGTAGGTTTGAAAATCTCAATTCAAATACAGTAGAAGAATAAAATAAAAAATAAAAACATTCGCTGCTTGACAGTTTTCATAACATGCCCTCTCTCCTCATTCACTTCATGTTGTGAACTGAGAACACAGAATTCTCTACTGAATGGCTACATCCTTGAACATTTTGATTCACTTCCAGCCAGCAGAAAGGTATACTGTAAAGCTGAGTGTGGATTGGGTATTTTTATTCCACAATCTCTTTCTGCCATTTTTTTCATACTCACTTAGTTTTACTTCAAGCTTCAGACACAAGAACATTTGCAAATAAATGGTAAAACACAAACTGAAATTGACAGGATTTACTAAGTGAACAAATATAAGCGATACTTTGCAAACTTTTACCTTACAGTAGTTTGACACCTTGCTGATTTCAAGATTGACTGGTTCACATACACAAAAAATAAACAAACAAACGAAAAAAAGTCTGAAAAACCCTGTCCCTTCCCAGAATCCTAAAAGCATTAAAAACTTGTAAGGAATATTCTCCTATAATACAGCAGATCCCATTTCTTTTGCTGACTGCCACAAGGCTAATGTATAGCTGGTCCACTGTCCTAGTGTTTCTATTTCCTGGTAAGTTACCTTGGGATCCTGACACTTACCTTTTCAGCAGGGCTTGGAGATGTACAGATCTAAAGTGTTATAGATATGACAAAAACTGTTATAGAGAAGATTGTTACATTTAAAAGATGCTTAAATCAAACAGTTTCAAAACAGTGAAGTGGGAAATCATGAACAAATATTTGATAATAGAGAAACAAAGTGTTATATTATTATTTACTTCCATTTTTTTATTAGAAATTTTGTATCCTCTACCTACCTATATTTTTGGTTACTTTGCAGTACCTTTTGGCTTCTAGATATGGTTTCATATTAGAACTTCTGAAAAAAAATGTTTATTTTTTGAGTTCACAACCATGACAAAGAAAAATGTTCTAAAGTTATCAAAAGTGTTTTGCATCACACATCACACCTTTAATAGGGACAACTGCATTATGACATCATTTGTGTTCCTTTTGTGACTTTCTTTATATATATTGTTCTAAATAGAAAGTAACAGATACAAATTCACAGATTTCATGACTCTTTCTTAAAAATAAAAGATGGCTTTCCTCAATTCTCTCTTTTTTTTTTTTTTTCTTGGGGGGGGGGGGGGATGGGGGGTGGGAGGGTGGCTATGTGAATTGCCATAGCCAGGACTTGAAAAAAAAGACTACATACTGACATACTGAAAACTTTTCAACTGATGATGAGTTAATGCACATCAGATGCTCACTCCTCAGTAAGTCTCCCACATGCTCTGGACCACAGTAAGCATGATGCAAACTTACAACTTTTGTGTCAGTGGGAAAGGTACATTACCTCACCTTTTCCATGATTCATAAATAAATAAATAAATAAATCTGTCAAAGCCCTCAGAGTGGAAAGTATACTGCTGGGCACAGCCCACCCATTCTGCTGTGTCCGCCAACTGGAACTGCTATACTGCTCATGCAGTGAATATTATTCAATTGCATTAAACAGTATCAAAGATTTCTCTCCTATTTTGAAACAGTTTAATAAGTGTAATCTTATTACCAACTAGACAAAATAAATTGGGAGAAATACTGGTTATTTTCCGCATAGCAAAAGCAATTATAAAAATACAGAGGGAACTGCACCTTTTCAGACTTCTATGTAAAAGTATCCTGCTACAATAATATACTTTACTATAACAATTTACCTCATTTTTCATTTCTTCTTATCAAGAACAAGGATTTTAATGGCAACAAGTTTCTTAGGCTGAGAAGCATTTACCCTAAAACACCTTTTTTTTCCTGAAGTTCTCTCTCTCTTTTAATCTGTAACAATCTGGCCTGATTTTGAGAAACAGAACACTGACAGCTTCTGTCGATTTCAGCAAAGACTGAGGATGCATTTTGCTTACAGTTTCCTCAAATTCACTTTATTATTTGGTCTAAAAAACTATCACCTTCCTATGTCTCTAAGAATCTGGTGCTCAACCCTCTTGCAGATGCCATTGAACTAACTTAACTCACCATGGATATTTTGCTGAAGTCTATAAAATACCTGGCTCTTCCACAGACTAACTACAGCCTGAATCTCCTAAACTTTAGGAACGAATCTATTCCAAGAGATACTTCTATAGTTCATTGAAGACTGATAATAGCTCATGTTTTCTCCTGCCTTCTTTAACTAGTTGATCCCCAGTTTGCCCAGAGAGAGAATCATATCCCTGAACAGATACACTCAAGTGTAATGCTAGAGGAAACGTACAGCCATGGAAAAGAACACATGTGGCTTCCACGCTACTCTTTCAGAAAAGAAAAGGCAAGATATTCCATATTTTTAATAGAAATAATATATAAAATACAAAGTGGTAAATGTTGCTCCCAGGAAGAACACACGAGGAAAAAAAAAAGAAAGGAAATAAAAATATAAATTAAAATTAAAAGACATACCCAGCTTTCCCAGAAAGATGCCTTTTCACGGCTTTCATATTATCTATATCCATCCCAAAGTAGATTCTGCAATGGGTCCTGCAACTGACACATCAAAAATTATGGCTCTGATTCAGGAAAGATTTAGACCATCACCATTCAGCTAAGCACTTAAGTATTTTAAGTAGATGCTGAAAATCCTGTTAAAGTTATGGACAAGCAAAAGCAATTTTATTGAACAGTGAGTTGTTGACTTGAGTGAAGCTTATAAGGATACATTTATTTTTTTTTAGAATTAACGTCCTCCCTCATCTGAAAACAAGACCATGAATAACGTACAAGACTGGGAATCAATGATGACAATACATGAAGTGTCAGAGGAAAAAGGAGCGATTTATCTTGATAATCTGCAGGAAAACCTGAATAACAAACTGCTGCCAAAAGTACCAGATGCACAACTTTGCATAAATGCAATAGAAATTGGAGAACCGTAAGATAATGATGATTTCAGCTTCATAAATGTGATACAGGGAATGCACATCCACAGAAAAGCCTGCACTGTAGCTGCAGGACAACTAAATATACCCTGTCTTTGCACTAGGGTGGACAAAAATGGTACCTGGCCAGCATGTGTGGTGGCTGAGTGATTTTTTAGATTACAGTTGTAAACTAATATACATTGCAATTGCTCCCTGAAGTTTAAACACAAACAGTAAAGGGTGCATACATATTCAGTCCCCAGCTGTGGGACTATATTATATAGGTCACCTATGGTATTATATAGGACATCTATGTAACAGTGCATCATTAGAGCAGCAGCCTTCACATCTAAATCACACTACATTGCAGCAGTGAAGTTTCATGAAGATCAAGTTCAGCTTTGTGAAATGTTTGAGTTACCCTTCAGGAGGAATACAGGACTTACGAGGGAAAAGGCCACAGCAAAACCAGGACCATTACCTGGTTATGAATCTTTGCCTCTAAACTCCATCTAATTGGAAAGAAAACTCTCAACATAAGTTTTCACCCCTGAAGGTTTTTGATATTGCAGCCTTGGACCTGCCCATTCCAGAAATGCCAGATTTAGCAAGCCATTAAATCTGAAGAAGAAAGATCACAAGAGAGGAGAGGAAGACACTCTTCACCTAACCAAATTCACCCTGATACCTGGAAAATTTATTCCATGTTGGAAAACATCATTTTAATTAATGTACATTTCTAAGAAAAACAGAGGAAATTAAATTTTAAACTATTTGATATGATGCGTACACACAAAGTTTTGAAAAACACAGGTCTAGTTCTTATCTGTTTTTTCCAATCACAGCAAAAAAAAAATCATACAAAAGTAATAAAACTGTAAGTAACTCCGGCTCATGAATTTACTTATAGTGAAAACTGAAGCAACTTGAGTATTTGTAAAAGAAACTAAGTTTTCTTTCTTCAATGACTTCCAAAATTCTGTGAATGAAATATTAGCATTCATCAATGTGGATTTTTCTCTTGCAAATATACTGCTCAGGAAGTACCTGGTTAGCAATTAGTGAGATCATATGTAATGATCTACATGTTAAAAAATAAAATAAATGCCCAAGACAGATTACAGATGTAACAATACAGACATTACCAAGCCAAGAAGACAATGAAGGAGCCCTGTGTTCTTTCACAGGCATTTTATATTTCAATTTACATCCTTATCCATAGGTTAGATTCCGCTCACGGCAGCATCAGAACAGGAATGTCTCCAAATGGTTAGGTTTGAACAGGCTACCTCAGAAGGAAATGCAGTTGAAAAACTTAAGCAAGAACACTTTTCTAGAAAAGCTGTAATTTACATTGTTTCATACCTGGTCTATGTAAAATGGGGTCAACGCACAAACAAGCGCTGCTCTCTCCATTGGTTTTCATCTCATGAATGCTGCAGCACCAAGTATGACTAATTTAGCTGAAAACAGAGAAAGTGGTAATAACACCCAGGCCCCTGCCCTAATGCACAACTGGAACCCAGCAGCAAGGAACACAGAATATGGGTGGTACTTCCCTGCTTTGCTGCTGTGCCACCAGAAAGCTCTGTGCACAGCAGCAGGAAGGCTGCCAGAAGGCTAAGGGAGAAAGCAGGCTGAATTTCTGCCAGCTAATGAATCTATCCTTTTATGCTAATTGTCCTAAGAGAGAAGCAAGTGAGGTGCCAACAGACGAACCCTTGGTGCCTTCCCGATTCAGTGGGACAAAACATCTCCTACAAAGAGGTTCTGGAGACTACCAATGGGCACCACCTCCCTCTGCTTCCATTCTCCAAATCCTTGTTCCATGTTACTAGTCCAGCCAAGGCTGGTCCCTGATGCTGTACACTGGTACAGCACATGGCAATGGGTGGAGGCTTCATTTCTTGCCATTAATGTAGCTCTTAGAGTTCATAAAATCCCAACACCTCTGCAAGAAATTTTACTGTGGCTCTTCTATACCAATTACATGCTGCAAACGTTAAGCTTTGAACTTCGCTGTCAGGGGAAAAAAAAAATAAAAAAAAAAAACTATTTTAAAACCAACTACATTTTCCAATTCCTCTACCAACCAACATGTTCTGTAAGCCTGGCCATGTTGCAGCAGTCATCATGTTACACTCACTGGGAATATGCCTAAGCATACATATGTACATGCATGTTTAAATGCATACACACACACCAAAGCTCTAATACATGTGTAAATTTCATTCTTGTATTTACTCATTTGCTGTAAGCACCATTCCTAATGGAAAATACACCATGTCTCCTTTTCAAGGGAATGATTAGGACCACATGTTTCACTGACTGTTATGTTGAGGACTTCAACGATATTTTCGAAACCAAATTACTAACAGCATACTAAACTTATTTCCCTGGTGAAAACCACTGGCTACTAACTTAGCGAATATGAATACATTTGTCCCTGAACATACAGGTAATCATCATATAAAGCCAGAGGCCTAAAATGAGTATGTATGGGGCAGAAGAGACCAAGGTTCATATGCAATAGTAACATATTCTATAACCAAATGACTTTGTTTATCTGAGAAACCCAGTATTACATCAGTTTTCCTAAAGAGAATATAAACAGCACATTTTTGAAGAAACGGTTACTTAATGTGCAACTTGTCACCACTATCAGCTTTAACATAATAAAATACATGTGGAAAATCCCTTGAAGCAAACCTTCTGCAAAGCAGATTCTTCTCCAGTCTGGGTCAGAGGGTGTGTATGTCTATGAAGGAAATGCTATCTCTGTCTTTCACACACCCACTCACTGTAGGTCATGCAGCAGAGCTCACTGTTGTGATGTGTCTGCTGTATGCGTGGCATCAACTCCTTGAGGTAAAGAAATTGCTGTTGTTTCTTGGAGAGCATCTGTGCCTTGTAAAGAAAACCAGCAAATCACACTTCAGCATATTAAATAGCAGCACTCATTGAAATTTCAACCCTGGATCTCAGAAGTACTTTGCAGACAATGACTAAAGCATGTTTCAGCAATGTAAATATTACTATCCATATTTTGTAAATATGGAAACCACAGCACAACCTAGCTGAATAATTTAACCAAAGTCACTCCAAAGGCCTATAAGAAGTGACAAGTGTTATAATCAAGCCCTAGACCCTCTAATTTTGGGACCATCAGACTTCTACAATTAAGTCTGGATGAATGTTTGCACATCCTGGTCTTGCAAGGTGCCAAATGTCTCCTGGCCAGAGATAAAGCTTCTCATCTCTCTTGTACTCTATGATCAGTACTGCTCATATGCCAAGGGCAGGCAAGTAGGACAGTTTGCTCCAAATTCTATTTTAAGAGGTTAAAGGAAATTTTACAGTTAGTACTTTTGCATTGTGCAGTAGACTAGATAATTCCTGTGCAGCACCCTGCAGAATCACTCTTTTTTTTTTCTTTTTTTTTTTTTTTTAAAGTAAGCAAACCTTAGTCCAGCCTGATGAACACTCTGACATAGTTGTCAAGAAGATTTTGACAATGCAACTTTTATACTATAGCTTTGTCCTATAAGCAAAGGTTGATAAACTACAAATTCTGAGATGCAGAAGTCATAAATATTAATTAGAAGGCAACCGTGAAACCTGATTTCTTTTAATTTCATACCTTTAATGCTAAATCAAAAAATCCATCTGTAAGCCATTCTAGTATATTCTCTCACAGTATCATAAATTTTGAAACTTCAAATTATTGTGCCCATATAACTGTTCTCAAGGTTTATGTCAGAACTAATATAAACTTGTATAAACTTTGATTAAACTTTCTTTAATCAAAAAGTGATATAGCTGAAAATATTAAGTGAGAAAGAAAATAGATGAGGAGCTATACAGATACACAAATCTTCCATTTACACATGGCAAATAAGTTATTTAATGTCATTAAAGAATTATTTTTGCAGTCTGAGTTGATAATTCTTTTCATCATGCAACAGAGTCTATCTCAAAACTGCTGACAAAAGAGTTAGTGGTGAGCAGCAGTAATGGGTTAAAAAAAGATGGTATGCTATTAGATAAACCTTTTACAGGTTTGCATCTGAAAGTCATAACATAACATTTTATTTCATGTGTCACTGTGACAGAAGATTTTCAAGGCAGAGTTCTTGAAACTGCAAGATGTTAAACAGATGTACTGTACAGCCTTCCAGATTTAAATCATGAGAACTGCATTTGCAGCCTGTGTGTTGTATCCCCATTTTTTTCCCCTTATCAGCTTTGGATACTTTAAATAAAACCGTCTGTTTTATGCACTTTTTTATTTTATGTAATGGACCCTAAAAAAAAACTCCCCCCCCCCTCCACCGCTCTCTTTTCTTTTTAATTCAGACTAGAAAAAGTTATTCAAAATACATCCTTTAGGCAGGGAAATCTCTCCCTTTTTCCTTATTCTGCAGGTGCTGGCAACCCAAACCAATTTGTTAATGTAAAAAAGTCATCCACTGTAGGAATAGGCACAAAAGACAGCTGAAAGAAGAAATAAATAAAAACAGACCTGCTGAAAATACAGATTGAACATGCCTCTAAACTACTTAAATATTGATAGTCCCCTACCATTTTGGTTTCAACTGTTACTTGCACTCTGACAAAACTCTGCTT